ATAATTTTTTTGAGGATAATAATTAAGTATTCTATTAGAACTCAATGATTATCTTAATTATATTTTAAATTTTTTATATTTAAAATGATATATATATATATATATCATGTATTTGATTATGTTTATATGCAGTTAGTTACACGAATTTAAACATGAAGCTTTAATAAGATGTACTCACGCATATTCTACTTGTAATCTTGAATTTTAAGTAATATGCATCAATAAACAGTACTTCATGCATAAAAAATTATTTTTAAGAGTTTTTGTCAAATGCTTTATAATATAGTATAAATGTGATTTATTATGACATATATAGTAAACTACAAATATGGTCCCTATGGTTTCTTGATAGTAAGACTTTTTTCGTCCCTGCATTGTGATTTGCAAAAACGACCATATTAATCCTTCTGCCTAATGGCCATTAAAGAAACACGTTAAGTGAGGAGTAGTTTGATCTTTTTTTTTCACTTTTTTATCATATTTTCTTTAGAAAATAAATGCATATGTAAATTATAGGGACCAAAATGTAATTTAGTCTAATATATAATTTTATATAGATAATGACAAACCACATGAAACCTCACTACCTCCCCCTACATATAACTACACCGCCCCATGTCGCTTCTCGGCAACTCCTTTCTCTTCTCGGCGAACACACATCCCCATGGAGGAACCACTTCTTCGTCGACACATCTCCACAAGCAGTTAAGCATCTCCACTCCTGCAATAGGAACACTGCATCTAGCCATCCTAGTTGATCTCCATGTTAGTCGCTTATAATGGATTTTGCATATTAGTTCACCCTACAACTTAGATTTATGCAAAAACTAATGGGATTTAGTTGCAACCAGAGCACACTCAATATTGAACTCTTATCTCGCCTAGACTATCTCCGAAGGGACCAAATCCGGTTGTTCTGCAAACCACAATGGCCATTTTGTAAATTTAAAACTTTAGGGACGAAAAAGTTTACTTTCGATATACAACAGGGACCAGATGTGTAGTTTACTCTAACATGTATACCAAGTTCGGGTCGACCCATTATGACACGAGATAATTTAAATTTAGAGTAAACTACAAATTTAGTCCCTGTGGTTTGTCTAGGATGGCAATTGCACCAAAAAACCGACTTCCTATTTTATTCATCTTTTTTGTCTCTTATTGGTTCTCTTCTACTTTTCATTCCTACAGTTTGAAATTACAGAATAACCGCCGTGATCTGTAAAAATGTCATGATTTGATCCCTCACTCTAACAAGTATTAAAAATTCCGTTAAATTTAGAGCATTTCCGCCCTTTCTTACAAAAATTGTTTTTATGATTTTATCGTTGTGGTTTTTGATTGAGTAAAAGACAAAAAAAATCGATAAAAAAGACAAAATTTCCTCTCATTTAACATAATCTTTTAAAGGCCGTTTGAAAAAGATCAAATTTGGACATTTTTACAAACCATGATGATCATTTTGTAATTTCAAAATTACAGATAATAAAAATTGTTATTTTTTACAAACGATAAGGACCAAACTTATAGTTTACTCTTAAATTTAATTATATAAAAAATGGGGTTTTTAACAAGTAAACTTGAGAAAATTATCTTAAATAAATAAAACCATTTTAAATGTATCAAATCATATGTAAATATTTATAATCTTTTAAATATTTGTATTTTAAAAAACTAGAAGGATATTTGCGCAATGCAGCGAGATACATCTTGATTTTAATATTTCATTTTAGTCTTTATCTCAGTCGATGTTATAATATGGTCTTATGTGATTTTGAGAAAGCGATGATGTTTTTATTTTTGAATAAAATATAAATTTGAAGATATCATAAAAAATTGACAAAAATATATCGATATTAGTATCAAATTAACTATTTAAAATTCTTTATTTTTTGTGTAATTTTTTAATTCAATTTTTTATAATTTAATTTAAATACAATAACGAAGTAATTTATAATTGATTTAATAATATAATTTTCTTATAAAGATACTAATTATTTATTTTGTTAGAACTCAATAAATATTCTAATTGTATTTCAGATTTTTTATATTTTAAAATGAGATGTTTATCTTCTATTTGATTATGTTTATCCGCAGTTAGTTATACGAATTCAAACATCGAACTTTAATAAGTTATATTTTTGCATAATTTACTTGTAATATGGAATTTTAAGTAAACATTGGTTTTATGTGATTTTGAGAAAGTGATAATATTTTTATTTTTGAATAAAATATAAATTTAAAATATCATAAAATTTTGAAAAAAATATCGATATCAATATTAAATTCTTTTTTTATTGTTCTTGTGTTTTGGTGTATTTTCCTTAATTAATTTTTTTAATTATAATTTAATTTAGGTTTAATAACAAAGAAATTTAATTTAGTTTAATAATATAATTTTTTTATAAAGATAATAACTAAATATTCTGTTAGTTATCAATGATTATCCTAATTATATTTTAGATTTTTTATATTCAAAATGAGATGTTTATCCAACATTTGATTATGTTTATTTGCAGTTAGTTAGATGAATTCAAGTATGGAGTTTTAATAAGTTGTACTTATGCACAATTTACTTGTAATCTTAAATTTTAAGTAATATGCATCAATAAATAGTACTTCGTGCATAAACAATCATTTTTAAGAGTTTTTATCAAATGTTTTATAGTATAGTATAAATAATTTAGGTTTAGTAACAAATAAATTTAATTTAGGTTTAATAATATAATTTTTGATAAAGATAATAACTAAGTATTCTATTAGTTATCAATGATTATCCTAATTATATTTTAGATTTTTTATATTTAAAATGAAATTTTTATCCAATATTTGATTATGTTTATCTGCAATTAGTTAGACGAATTCAAGTACGGAGCTTTAATAAGTTGAACTTATGCACAATTACTTGTAATCTTAAAATTTATATAATATGCATCAATAAACAGAACTTCGTGCATAAAAAATCGGTTTTAAGAGTTTTTATCAAATGTTTTATAATATAGTTTAGATTAGATATTCATATTAACCATTTAAGAATTTAAAAAGAAGTGGAAAAAAAGTTTTGATGGATCATCCTGATACGTTTTTACATGAATAAAAAGTGTGAAAAAGAACTATTTGAACTTGAGTCGATCTCAAATACAAAATAAAGTTTGTTCAACTTAATAATTTGAACTTCATAACGTTAAATATTTGACTCGGGTTGTTCAAAAGTTTCATTAAATTTTTCAAGTCGAATCAAGTCATACGATCATTACACCTTTTTCAAGTCATATTATTTGAATTGATTATTTGACTTCTCACGTGATCAGAGGTACACCTATTATTTTAGTGGCGGTACGGTTTGACTATAACAACGAAGCTATATATAGATGTCCTTCGAAAAATCATCATTAATCTATTGGTTAATTCTTACTTTTCATATGTGAGGTCTTATGTACGAGTTTTTTATCGTAATTTTTTCCAAAACGATTAAAAGCATTAAATTAACAGCTAGAAACTAAGAAAATAATTGAAACGAGATTCGAACCCACGCTTGGGATGGGCGAAAAGTCGTCCAAAACAACTCTGTCAAGATAAACTTGTGTTATTATTATAGTTTCAAAATATATACCGTGACACCAACATTACAATATGGTTGTACTGTTCACGAGTCTAACTTTTTTGGCTAACGACACATGAACATAACGATGTGCCACGGTATCTAATGAATTGGGTCCGCCACTGCAAATGATCCAAGGACAGGAAGGGGATAGGGAATTTATGGAGAGTAGAATTTTTATTCTTTACCAAGCATTGCCAATTTTGAGACCCCTACCTTCAAATTTCACATAAGACATATTCTTAAATTAGCATTTTTTTCAGCTTAAACCAATGTATATATACAAGTTCTTCAAATCTTTCCTAAAATGGTATGTTTCAAGTTCATAAACTTAACAATGGTGCTGAAAATAGAAATCGACCAATAACCAGAGACACACGTAGTGTCCTTTCGTGCACGAAAAGCAGAACGCTACCTTTCTGCTTCTTGTGTATCGATCATTGATAATGGTTGTGTAGAAGGATTCGGGAGTTTGAAGACCCGTGTTCCAATAAACGGGCCAACTAAAGCATCCATACGGCTACTGATCACCGCCCTGATATGGTAACCCTTTGCTTGCATGATCGCCTTTTGTTTGAAGAAATATTTGCGGGTATCTATTTTCATCTCCTCATCCGATCTGAATCACATCACAACGATCTTTCAGTTAAAAAGACGTTTAAAAAAAAAAATTTGTTTGGGATTGTTTACTATGTGATTCTTGTGGCAAAGGACTGTAATTGAACTATGAAGTATTTACGATAACAAAAACCAAACAAACCCAATATATCAAATTCAAAAGAAGGGTTTGGGGATCAGATGATGATACCTCATAATCAATTTCGACCAACCTTCAAATCGAGCTGCTATAAGCTTGTCAACGATCATGGGTTGTTGTTTCTCGGGCTCCCTTGACAATAAAACCAATGGCCATCCACCAGACCGAAGCTTCGTGTATATTTCCAGCAAGAACACATGTTTCGCCTCTTTATCACCATCATCGTAACCATCATGATGGAATCTACACCATCGGAAAAATACAAGTTATTACAACAAAATCAACTTTATAGGACGCCAAAAATGTCATAAGAAAATTACCAAAAGAGATCTAAAGAAAATTACCGATAAAACATTGGGTTAGTATAGAAAGAATCTGACGGGAGTAAGTCATCTAAATCCATCAACACCACATCCCGACCACCAACGACCGGTGTCACATTCTTGAAGTAATCCTCAACAATCGACACCATATAACTCAAATCGCTCGTATAACGACCATCTTTTATGTAGTGGACAGCCAAATCCGTGCAAAACTCAGGCAAAGAATATAATTCGAAGCTATTAAGCTCTGCGTGTAGAGTGGCCGTTCTACAATAATCATAAGATTGATCTATAGATTTCGACATTTCAAGAGCCCCGGAATTCCGAGTTTGGCAAGATTGTAACATTACGATCAATGCAATTAGCAAAGCCAGCAATAAAACCCCAGCTACTAGAAGCCCAACAATAAAGATCGTTGCAGCAGCTGAAGACACATACATCACAGATTCCATTCGAAATTCGCTTCCATTATCTACATCAAGAACAAGATTCATAGTTTTATGTTAGAGGCCTACATCAGCTAGATTTGCACACTTTTCTCCAATATATTTTAACATGGTATCAGAGCCCAGGACTGCCTGTCTACCCTACTTTGTAAGGGGCATGCTATAATCCCACATTGGTGGACTAGGACACTTTCTTTTTGATATATTTTTGAATCTTTCTTCTCGGAACCACTTTTAGAGGGTAATCTAATAGTAACCACATATTTTAACATGGTATCAGAGCCGGTCTATGATCAGAAGAGACGTGTTAGAATTCCACGTTGATAGACTTGGACACTTTCTCTACAAAATATGTTGGGACCTCGTACTGAATTCAAAGTAATCTAATGGCTCCACATAAATGAATTAGGGCAAGATCTGAAATCTTCTGCCACAAAGTAATCAACAATATTCATAATTCAAGAATTAATAAGCATACCCGATTCTTCTCCACTTGCAGAATGCTCCGTTTCCGTCCCATGGCGGTAGGCGGACATCGAAAGATCAAATCTTTGATCAAATACTGGATCCAATTTGCTCTCTTTGATGTAAAAAAAGGTGGTTAAATAAGCTATAATGATTAATGCAAGTACCTGAAGATTGTAAGTAAACCTAGTTGTAGTCAAACAAGATTTGTTATTGTTTGAATGGAGAAATTTCCAAAAAACTTGTTCAAATTACAGTCATTTGTAATTGTTGTTTATAATCTTTCAAGCCCACATGAAGATTTTAATTACCCAGATAATAATTGAGATGAACTTGAGGATTCATCTCTCAGTGATGCAAAGTATAAGCTAAATTACAGGCAAAGAAAGGTGGGTACCTAGAAGATCATTAAAATCAAACGATGAAATCTGTGTTTTGTTGGGAGTTGATGGAGTTTACCGAAACAGAGGATGATGACGAAAGAAGAGTGGGTATTTTGGTCAAAGACGAAAGTTGAAGGATCGTCCAATCCCAGGAATATATATATATATTGGGTAAAGTAAAACTATAAGTTTAAAGTTTTGATTATTTAAGATTAAAATAATGAGATAAACCAGTTGTTATCACATTTGGGATTAGTGGATTACGTCATCTTTATTTATCGTTTTGTAGATGTCACAGGTAAGGTGATATCCCTTTATCTATATCTTATCTATATCTTTTTAAGGGGCTATTTACTAAATTTTCTATTAAGTCCTGTATGGATAAATTTGTTTGTCTGAATAAATTTGTCTGTCTAAATAAATTTATGTTGTTTACTTTTCTATCTGAATCAACAGTTTGAATAACAGAAATGACCAATTTACCCCTTGAGGATGAACTACGCATTGTTTAATAATTGTTGAATAAACCCAAATGGAACCAACTATTTAATCAAGTGTTTTAAACACAAAATTGACAAGACTGATGATGAGTATTTTGAATCATCTTGTTGAAGCCAGATTCAGAAACTATAAGACCTTCACGCACAAAATGCAGCAAGTTTAGCAACCAGTTGAAACTGAACTTTGGTACAATCTGCTTCCCTAACTTTAACTAATCGCATTTCTATATTTTACCAACGCTGCAAAAACAGAAGTKGGAGCAACAAACAAAAACAGCCCCTGAAAGAAATTTAAAAAGCAGAAGTTGGAGCTGGAGCAACAAACCTGCAGGCTACCTCACACTCACCTACGGTCATGCTATGCTCTGATCGAACAAGAAATCGAGTAGAAATTATAACAAGAAATCAATGTAGGMATCGAACAAGCAAAATCGAGTAGAACAATAACAAAATCTACAGTGAGTTGAAGAAATTGAAGCCAACTCGACGTATGAATCGAATCGAGAAAAATCGACAGTGGGTGGAAGAAAAATCGTACCTTTCAAGATATCGAGAGTCGAGAAATCGTTGCCTATGGTTGAAGGAGCGTCTTCGGAGAAATCAAGAGTTTAGTTCGGATTTGGAGTGGAGAGATCTTGTTGTCAGGTTCGTTTTTTTCAGATTTGGGTGGTAAAACTATCAGGGGTAGAGGTGGTTTTTTCGATTAGGGTTCTGTGTCGATCGATGGAGGAGAAGAACCTGTGCGATCGATGGAGGAGAAGAGATGTGCGATCGATGGAGGAGAAGGGTAGGGCAATCTTTTGGCCGGCTTAATCTGGACAAGTTCCTTCTTTCATCTGGGCGAATAAGCCCATTTCTGAGTAATTAAGCCCAAAGTAAACAGCCTAGAAAGTCTGTGCGAATAAGCTCATTTATCCACTAAGCTCATTAAGCCACAAGTAAACAGGCCCTAAATGTTTGGTAAATGGTCCCTAATATTCTATTATTTATAAGAACGCTGCCCATTTGATAAAATTCATCAGTATACACATATATGTGGTATTGGTTTTCTAGTCAATCAACAACAACAACAACAAATGCTTGTAAAAACACATGTATACACAAATTCCTTCAATGAATGTTTGTGTTTCTCTATCTTTGAAGTAAAATTTGCTTTCATACCTTATATCAAAGGGTTAAGGGTATCCCTTGATCACACTTTATGTGAGCATCACCAATAAATACAAAGATCCCATACCTCCAAGCCTCATAGAATAAGCTGTTGTGTGGGCCCAACTCTTCATTGTTAGTTCTTTGTTGTTCACTTATCCATTTCCATTTCCTTTGGTACGAAAAACCAAGTTCCCTTCTGGCCATAAAGATTCAAATGCGGTGATTTCGAGCTATTTGCAAAGCAGGTGATACACCAAATTCATTTCTATAACTTGCCAAAGGTTCATGTACCTTTTATAATTTTGGAAAATAGATCAGCTATCAAATTAATCTTGGACCAGTAGACTTATTTTAGGATGGGATTGCTTAAATGGCTTATGAGGGAGATTGGGCAACAAAAAGAGGATAATAGTGGGTTGTACAAATTTTGTAAATGATGGCCTAGCTAGAGTGTTTACTAAATACCAAACTTGTAATGATAACCATGATTCAACTGTTCAAGACTCGTCTTTGACACCATGTCAAGGTTGTGGCACACAACAATTTGATGCACGTTCTTTATTAGACGTTATTTGATTATTATTATTTTTACTTTTTAAACTATTTTTATCTTATTAGACCATTTGTAATCACAATCTAAGCAACCAGATTGTAAATGGGACAAAAAGGGTTTTAAAATAAGAAAAAATAGAAATAGGTAATCAATCTCTAGCAATCCATCTCAACAATCCGGGATTGAGCACCTTTTTACTAAAGGAAATTGACATGTGGCATCTTTTTATTGGTTGTTTTTTTAAAATAAAACTTATCTAATTAAAAAGTGACTTTAACAAAAAAAATTAAAAAATACAAAGTATACCAAAATTCATAGTTTTCAATTTCTTATAGATAGATCACACTTGATATATTTACATACTTACTTTTGTAACTTATCTTATTTAATTTCAATTGTATGATAAGTTTTTATCATTATAATTACGTTTTAAAATATGCAATAATCCGTTTAACTTATTTTTTATATTTAAAATTAAAATAATAATAATTATATATAATAAAAGATAAAATATATAATTTAAACAAAACTATATTTTAGATTGGATTGGATCATGGTTAAATAAAGAAAAAAAAGTGAGATTGTGTTGGAGTTGGAGATTGTATAGGTGGATGAGAGAGAAAATAATATTTCAATTAGGACACTCCAATGGATGACACTCTATCAGAGTGTCATGGACTGCCACATCAGCATTCCACTCACCATACAATTCTATCATTTTATACCCACATTCCATAACACTCCAATGAGTTTAATGGATTTCCACATCATATATATATATATATATATATATTATCTATAAATATAATTTTACCAACAAATTTAAAAATCAACTAAAAACAAGGAATAATACATTAAAATGAAAATGAAACGAAATTAAAATACATTTAATAAAATTAATGTAATATCTTATTAATGTAATGTATTTTGAAATTAATGTAATGTTTTATTAATTATGTTGTTTTTATAAATTAAGAAAAATAAAAATAAAAATTAATTTATTGATTAATAAATATCATATTATAGTGTATATATATATATATATATATATATATAATATCATAATTAAATCTTTACAAATTTAATTATAAAAGAAAAAATAAATTAGTGGGTCCCATTGACCTCCCCATGATGCGTACAATGGTCATTAACCTCCCTTCACAATGCATGATGCATGTAATGGCTCCCATTAACCTCCATTGGAGATGCTCTTAGGATTAGGTTGGAAGGGATTGTGAGTAAACATAATCTTTAATGTTTAATTATTAGGTTTTATATTATAATAATATTTGAAAACATATATATATATATATATATATATATCTATAATATATTATAATGATTTGACAAAAACTCTTAAAAACCATTTTTATGCATGAAGTATTGTTCGTTGATGCATATTACTTAAAATTCAAGATTACAAGTAAATTGTGTATATGTACAACTTATTAAGGCTCTATATTTAAATTTGTGTAACTAACTGTGGATGAATATAATCAAATATGGATAAACATCTCATTTTAAAATATAAAAAATCTAAAATATAATTAGGATAATTGTTGAGTTCTAACAGAATATTTAATTATTATCTTTATAAAAAAATATATTATTAAACCTAAATTAAGTTACTTCGTTACGATAAATTAAATTATAATAAAAAAAATGAATTAAAAAAATACACAAATAAAAAAAAATTAAATAGTTAATATGGTACTAATGTTAATATAATTTTTGCGAATTAATATGATACTTTCAAATTTATATTTTTTTCAAAAATAAAAAATTATCTGTTTCTTATAAACCACATAAAATCATATTATATCGACATGGATAAAAAATAAAATGAAACATTGAAATGGAAATGTGTCTCGATGCATTGCACGAGTACCCTTCTTATATATATATATATATATATATATAATATACGTAACTATATATGATATGTTACACAAATTTGTCGTCATAAATGATGCCTTGAAAAAATGTCATGGCCTCGCGTCAGAGGTGGACCTAGGAACTCTTTAAATGGTGACACAATTTGACTATAAAAAACAAATATGCGAACTTTTTTCACAAAATTATCATTGGTTTGTTGGTTAGTTGCTTGTTTTTCGTATTACAGTCTTGTGTTTGAGCCTCTTATCACAAATTCTTTCAAAAATATAATAAATCTAAAATTAAAAACTAAAAACTAATAAAATTAGAGAAACATGATTCGAACCGACGCCTACGCCGGGTGAAAAGCTATGCAAACCAACTCTATCAAGGAACCTTGTATCATTATTGTAATTTCAAAACATATACGGTTGTACACAACAAAATGATACGATGACACCTTTCACGACCCTGTAATTTTTTACACGACAATGGAGGAACGAAGCCGTGGCATTAAGGAGTGTGGGTTTTCCTCATTTTGTATAGTGATAACGCTTTCTCTTTCTCAGCGCACCCCCCCCCCCCCCTTAGTAAGGGGAACTTTGGTTGCGCGACTTTCTCTTATACTTATCGGGGTCTATTTTCCTTCATTAGTAGTTTTTCTATAATGACTTCATATTAAATTCTGTAATTTTCTTTATTTGAAATAAGAGTTTTCGTTTTTATTCGAAAATTTGTTCTTTGTATTATTTATAGTTTAAATGTAGAGTAAACTATAAATTTGGTCGTTGTGGTTTGTTAAAAGTAATACTTTTTATCTCTATAGTTTTGAAATTACAAGATGGTGATGATAATAGTCATGGTGTTTAGAAAAACATCCCAATTTGACGCCTCCCACTAACAGCCGCTAATTAACTCCGTTAAAAAATAGATTTACGTTTTTTATGATTTTTTTCATGTCTTTTACACAATCAAAAACCACATGATCAAAATCATATTTTTAAATGAGATGTTTATCCTCTATTTGATTATGTTTATCCGCAGTTAGTTACATAAATTCAAATATGAAGCTTTAATAAGTTGTGCACAAATTAGTTGTAATCTTGAATTTCAAGTAATATGCATTAATAAACAGTACTTCATGCATAAAAAATTGTTTTTAAGAGTTTTTGTCAAATGTCTTATAATACAGAATAATATTATAATGTAAACTCTTAAAAACAACTTATTAAAGACTAGAAGCGTACTCGCGCAATGCATCGAGATACATCGTGATTTTAATATTTTATTTTATTCTTTATCTCAGTCGATGTTATAATATTGCTTTATGTGATTTTGAGAAAACGATGATATTTTTATTTTTGAATAAAATATATGTTTGAAGATATCAT